CACTCCTTTCGAGTGAGGCTTCGTGGCCTAGCAGCGGTGGTCATCAACCTGGACACTCGCCCGGATCGCCTGCAGGGTCTTGAGCGGAGCCTCCAGCGCAATGCGCCGCGACTTGGCCGGAGAAAGTTTCAGCAGCGCCTTTGGCGCGAAAGAAGTAAGGGAACTCGTGGGTTCTTCTTTTGCTTGCTGGAGCTAACATGAGTTGCAATAGTTGGGTAGGGTCTTTTGTGGCTTACAGGAACCAACATCAATAGCTACGATAGTTGGGTAGATCAAGGCCATGAACACTCGAAGGTGCGCTGCACAGTTGGGCTGCAACTAGCATGTGTTCATATCCATGTTAATGCTGTTTCGTGGTGTTTGGCAAACATCTTATTTGTTGGTTTCCTTGGAATTGGATATGGCATTCGGGCGGGTTGTGAAGGTACCTGAAGCTGAAGCGTCTGGCGGCAGTGGACGGCCGCAAGCAGAAGATCCACGGCAGGGATGCGCCGTGGCGGAAGCCAGAAGCGAAGGCAACCAAAATAAGGTGTCTCGTCAGACTTTGTTGGTGGCTGGGTTCCTTAGGCATGGTAGGCCCTTATCACGGTCAATGAAGCCATTGTGCAGCTGTTAGCGAAATAGTCCTTCTGCCAGATGGTGATTCCATTTGGTTCCCCTTGTTGTAGCACCCCACGGATGAATTCCGGATTACGATTGGGGATCCCCCCCCCCCGTTTTGGAACAATCCGGGGCAAGTTCCACAACTTTCCACCCGCCTCCCCCCCTCCCTCCCACCCCCCCCCCCCCCGTTTGCTTTTGCTTTCACTTGAACCCCACACAATCGTGTAACCATTTTGGCTCCAGGCCCTTTCTTTCACGATCTCTTCTCACTGAGGGTAGCGTTCCAGGCACTTGTGAAAACCCATGCGGCGCGCTCACCAGTGCAAATTATGACGAGCTAAGCCAAGGTACGAGGTGTGTAAAATGAATTAACGAGGCATGGTGCGAGGTAAAATTGCAGAAAGAAGTCAGGCCAAAGACTGACCCAAGCAGTCCAAAATGTGAGTGTGGAGCATTTCGGGCAATCTTTGCCTTCAAGCGGGCCGTTTGGCAAAGACTGCCAAAAGCACGCTGAAACGTCAGTCCGGATCGTTTCGGGCAATCTTTGCCGGGCAAAAGCCAACAGCAGCTGGGAGGACAGGGCAGCAACAAAAACTTGCAACATAGAACTTGGTCTTGTGCCCAATGCCGCTACACTATTTGCCCTCGATGACTTCGGAGAAAAGGTGCTGCAGCTCGGCAAAGACGACAGCAGCTGGGGAGGAGCAGTGCAGCAAAGAAAGACAAGCGCGGCACAGGAATTGAGCTGAGGAGCTTTGGGGTGCTGGATGCGAGTGATGCCGGCGTGTTTGGGGCAATCTTTGTCGGCAAAACACAAAAGCAGCGGGGAGGAGCAGCACAAGGAACTGAGCTCAAAACCTTTGGGGTGGTGGACACGAGTGATGCTTGTCCTCGATGCTACTGGCAATGTTTAGAGCCCAAAGGACAAACAATGAAGAAGAAGTGCTCCAGGGAGCTCGTGCAAAGACTGCCCGAAACGCTGGGCAATCTTTGGGCGGGCAGGGGGTTTTCATCCCTTGGCACATGGCATTGAGCTTCGGGGCGCGGGCACGAGTGATTCCATGACACTATTTACCCTTGATCTGATGGCAATATGTAGAAGCAAAATGACAAACAATGAAGATGAAGTGCTTCAGGAAGCTTGGGCAAACAGCAGCTGGGAGGGCAGGGCAGCAACAAGGGAAAACACGCAATAGGATTTAATCTTGTGCCCGATACGATTACACTAATTGCCCTCAATGATTGTGGCGAAAAAGCGCTTCAGCTCGGCAAAGGCTGCCGAAACACTGCGGGTTTTCAGCCCAGCTAGTTTCGGGCAATCTTTGCCGGGCAAAGGGAGCAGCAGTTGGGGAGGGGCAGGGCAGCAAAGAAAAGACAAGCGCAGCACATGGGATCGAGTGGAAAACCTTTAGGGTGCTGGATGCGACTGGTGCCACTACACTATTTGCCCCCGCTGCTGATGGCAATATTTAGAAAGAAAACCCCAAGAAGTGCTTCAGGGCTTGGGCAAAGACTGTCCAAAACACTGCGGCTGTTTAGCCCGGCGCGTTTCGGGCAGTCCTTTTGTTGCAGCCAGAAGCAACGCATGCAATGAGCATTCCGGACCCAAGTCTTCATGCACTTCCTTTGCCGCCCTGCCTTGCAGCGACTGCCGCGTGCCGTTGGAAGACGACAGTTTGATTGGATCTTCCAGGCTGCGCGGGCTCGAAACATCCTTATTCCCAAATGTCGATGTAACGAGGCGAGGTGCTATGTCAGGCTAGTAAAATCACAAACGAGGTGACGAGGTGAGAAGTATTGTAAATTGCCCAGATATACCACCATCCCGGAATCCTTGTTGCAGTCAACCAAGGAGCGCGTCTGAGAGGATACAAAATACTCATCCTCCACCATAAACTTGCTCACGGTGAATCTTGGATCCTTCACCAAAAATCCTAGATTGAATGACCGAGAGCTGAAGGACGCCAATCCGCGACCGACCTCTAACGCAAAGAACAGTGCACACATCCTGTGTATCAACGAAACAGATGCATTTTTCGAGGATCCACCAAGATGAGGGAACTCGTCCTGATGTTCATTCGCTCGGATACAAGGGCGTTGTCTTTGAAGGCTTGGACGGCTCGGCCCATCGCTTGCTTTTTTTTGTGGCAACCGTGATGCCAGAGTTGAACTCTTGGCGCGGCACATGTCCGACAGAGCCAAGTACTGGGGAACATCGTTCGTGCTACTTTTGCACCAGCGGTGGCGAGCACCATCCTGAATACAACAATCCGACCCCAGATTGCTTGACATCCACAAGAGACTACACGCTCACAAAGGACCATCGCAAGGAGCACCATCATCAGCATTTGCCCCCGCGCACAGCCATCAAGGCCTATGGGAAGAACAAGGAGGTCGCCACCACCCGTCAAGAAGAAGAATGACTTCCTGGATGACGTACATGAACTATCCCAGTCGGGGCTATGATGAACGTCACATGGATCGAGCAGGACCTCCATTTGCAACAGACTGGAGTGTTCCACGCCCAGCCAAGTCCCAGTCATGGATTTTGGAAAAGGCCATGCTGCTGCTAGTCACAGAGTACCAGTGCGATGCGAACAGACGTGGAATGACACCTTTGCATGGCCACCCATTGACCGCCTTGTGTCCACGATGGGCGCTGCAACCAACACGCAATCTGGAAATCTATTCCCGGGCATGTGTTGCATACGAAGACTGGTTCCGACTGGGATCGAACCTTTCCAGATTGTAGTCACATCTGGGCTGGGGAAGGACAGGAGGCCCACACACAAGCATTCCGACAGGAATACCACTTGAAGCCTGACAACCAGACGAACTTCGAGGTTCCCTCAGCGGAGAGATTCTTTTGGTTTCCGACCATTGGTGCGAGTTCGATTTCAACATGCATTGCGCTTTGTATATACTTTTCCAGTTGCCAGACGAACAAACCCAATCGCGTCGCAAAGGTGGCTTCGATAAATTGAATGCAACTTTGAAAGGCTACGGCATTAGGGCTAAGCCAATTTCATCCTGAATGACATACAGGAATGCGGGTGTTCGAAAGAAATTTGTGTCTGTTTGTTTTGTGGTTGCTTTTGCTGTCACTTGAACCCCACACAATCGTGTAACCATCTTGGCTCAAGGGCCCTTCTTTCACAATCTCTTCTCACTGAGAGTAGCACCCCATGCACTTGTGAAAGCCCTTGCGGCGCGCTCTCCGTGATACGCTATTTACAGGACTATTTGCCAGGGGCACCCGTTGGTCAATACATCCATTCGATGTACATCAACAGGATCCTGCTGAAATAGACCCAGGGCCACACAAAGTGCCGTTACTTCCTCCTTAAGGATCAAGCGCCCCAGGTTTGGGACTCCCAGAAGCTCCGCTGTTTCCAGGGCGAAGGGCTGCAAACTGCACTGGCAGGGCACCTACGGCCTGTTTTGAAAGTGAAGCAGGTTGAGCGGGTTCGTTTTAACCAACGGCGAGGTTGCACTCCGCCAAAGTCGGGCTGCCTGGCAAGTTGCCCCAAGAATGTCAATTCTAGATTCAAGTATGCCATTGAAGGCCCCTACAGGCGGTCCGGATCCCCTCTTAAATTGGTCACACCCTGATTCAACCTTGCTTCTCCAAAACGAATCGACCTTTTGACCTGTTGTTTGCATTGTTGTTTGTTTTTGTGTCAAGATTCCACCAAAAAAAGGGGACCCTTAGATGGTGGTTTGGATTGGTGGTTTGGATTGGTGGTTTGGGGGCTCGACCCCCAACATTTCAACTGGGGAAGGTACCCCTAACATCCAAACCCAAAAAAAACATTCGAGGGAAGCTGAAGGTGAACCTTATTTTCCACCCCACCAAACCACCAATTAGAAGAGGGAAGCTGAAGGTCACCATACTGTTTTCCAGACCTCTTGGGCAAGTGAGGAGTTTCCTCCAGGTGCAGAGGACCTGGAGCACCAAGCGCTTGGCCCAGATGCCACGTGGACTGCAAGAAGCGATTTCTGTTAGACGCCGTTGATGAAGGAACCCAAGAATAACTCACCCTCTCCTGGCAGATTTGTGGGACTCCATTATTTTCCTGGGCATCCACAGATTAACGTGGAAGAAAGGGGTACCTATTTCTGACCCACACCCATTTGGAACTCACAAACCGGTTTGGATCCACCTCCTTAAGGAGTCTACGATCCATATATTGTTCCTTCTCGTTGGCGTTTCGTGTGCGGTCACGCCATTTGGATCCGGTCATTTCCTTCGGACTGTTCATGTTTCAAAGTTGGGCCTTCCTAGGTCCTGCAGTCATTTCCCTTTGATTTATCTGTTGGCTGGTGAAGACTCTGTCCATCGTCTCTTTTCGGTCCCGGCATCCAGGTTCCATTGGTACCGGGAGAAGGTGATTAACATGTCTCCTGGGGAGCGGGGCTGCTGCGCCTCCCACCTCGAGGCCTGGCGAAAGTGCGCCAGGAGTGGGAAGCCTCTGCTGGTCTTGGAGGACGATGCCGCCACTCCGCCGTTGAAAAAGTCCTGCTGTGCATGGGGAGGGAGAAAAACTCTACTGCTATTGGGTTGGATCTTTAGACTTTAACTATTTTGGAAATCAAGGGGTTTTCCACTAAACCCCCAAAAAGTTAAGCTTTTTGCAGGGGGTGAACAGCAACCAAGAAAAAAAACGACCTGCATCAGTTGGGATTGCTGGTTTATCCCATTCATGGGCTTCATCCGTCCCGAGCCCGTCTGTTTAAACTATCCAGAAAAACAAACTAGTGGACCATACCACTCAGAAGAACCTCCCTTGAATGAGCTGATTCCCCACTAAAAGGCTGATTATGTGGTGTCCTGCGGAAAAGCTAAGTCCAGGGTAGGGCTAAATGCTAGAACCCTCAGCTGCTTGCAAGGGACTCATCCCCAGCTGCCAAATCAGTTTGCTATGTGGCCCCAACCACGTTGAATCGATTGAGTCTCCCCAGCCGGCCGGCTTCAACGTGTACCAACCAAACCCAGAAAGTGTCTCGTTTTCTGCCACCAGCGCTGCGAGGGACCTTTGACCTTGGAGTGCTCCATTTCTTGCTCTGCGGCATTAAGGGGCAAAACGGATCCGATCTGACTATTCCAGCTGTCTCCTCCCTTCTGAGGGCATGTCGTTTCTCAGGGTATCTTTTTTTGTGTTCTCATTCCGGGGCTTCCTCTACTTGTACTTTGAAACAACTCACTCCCTGAATTTAGGGACTTCAAGCTTTCTGGGAAGACCATGGAAGACCATTGTAGTGGCGAACAGAATGTTTGCATTTTTTTGGCCAGTCCCCTCGATCCGAAGTGAGACACACCCATGCGCTGCATGCGCCGCATGCGCCCGGAAGTCCAGCTCAGGTGATCCTGCCCTCCTTCACAGCGACTCTGACACAGGCCTTGACACTCAGCGTTTGTTCATGTGCTGTGTGCCAAATGGCACTTTGGTTTCCTCAAACTCGGCTTGAACCGCAGGGGCAAAACCACCTGTCCAGGTGTCACGTTGGTACGTCTTGCGTGTGTGCCGTTTTAGTCTGCGTTTGCCTTTGGCTTTTGATTTGTCACAGCCTGTGGCATGCCAGCCAAGGAAAGAAATGCCCAAGGATGCCGGCGCATTGTGGCTTACGAGCAAAGATCGTGGCTCCAGAAAGCGCGCGGGGAAGGTGCTGATGAAGCCACACTACTTGTGGACAACGGTCGGCTACATCATTTGGCCCGCGGCTGCCAAGCGTTTCATCAGCCTTCTCCCCATGGACATGCCAGTGGATAATTTCTTGGCATGGCACATCAAGGAGGGCGAGGTGAAAGGCTTCTCGGTCTCGCCGGCGGTTGTCCGGCAAGCACAGACCTGGAACATTGGGTCCGACGTGCCACACTCGGATGATGTGGCGCTTTGGGATGCTTAGGCCGATATTTCAAGGCTTGGCAACGCACAGTGCGGTGCGAGGGGATGGCCGGGGATGGCTGGGCAAGGCGAAGACATGCCACCGACAGCCCCACATTGGGCGCACCCAATGGCCCAATGTGCGCAGGGGAAAGCCAAAAAGTGCAGCGGCGCGGTGCTTGAGGGTTGACTCTCTCGCGAAGTGTCCCACTTTTGGGAGGGATGTCGTGGAATACAAACATGATTCTCCCAGGTGACTTGATTCACCCCATTCCATTCGTATGAGGCAACTTGGTTTACACGACATTACATATGTCAAGCCCTATTCCTAGCCCCCTCGGAATAGGGGGGGGGATTTCTCCTTGATCAATCCGAGCCGAGGTGCGGCGGAGGACCTGCGCTGGCGCTGAAGGAGATCCTTTGCCCATCGCAAGTGGCAGGGCACCCAGATTGGAGCAGATCAGAGGGCGCGGGGGGTTGGGCGGCGGGAGAGGGGGGTGGGGGGAATCTGTATGTTTCCCTGTTCCGCGGATTTGAATGATCTCCTTTGTGCCCATGTCATGGAGTTTTCGGAGTGATGTTAGGGGAGACACAGGGGGAGCCCCGCTTCGGGGCTTCCAAGCCCAGTGGGCTGGTTTCGCTGTGGAAACTCAGCAAATCAGCTGTCCACGTGTTCGGAGCCGTGCTGCTCCTCCTGCGAGGGCCACATTGGACACATAAATGTATGCACCAAAAAAAGCAGGTAAGACGTGATTGGTTGGTCATGAGCGAAAAGTGATCCACCAAAGCGTGAATTGGTCCACCAACCCTTCTGAGCTAAGATGCAATCAGATAGCGTCGGGGGGGGGAACGTCCGGCCTACTTGAGGCATGGAAAAGCCGCCCCCCACTCGAAGGCAGAAGGCCAAATGCCAAGCACCTAGGACTTGCAGAACGCAATTTTTGAGGGGAGCCTCTTGGAGTCCTTCAAGGTCAAGGCGCGCCAGTTGGGTGGGGTGGGGTGGGGTGGGGTGGGGTGGGGTGGGGTGGGGTGGGGTGGGGTGGGGTGGGGTGGGGTGGGGTGGGGTGGGGTGGGGTGGGGTGGGGTGGGGTGGGGTGGGGTGGGGTGGGGTGGGGTGGGGTGGGGTGGGGTGGGGTGGGGTGGGGTGGGGTGGGGTGGGGTGGGGTGGGGTGGGGTGGGGTGGGGTGGGGTGGGGTGGGGTGGGGTGGGGTGGGGTGGGGTGGGGTGGGGTGGGGTGGGGTGGGGTGGGGTGGGGTGGGGTGGGGTGGGGTGGGGTGGGGTGGGGTGGGGTGGGGTGGGGTGGGTGGGTGGGCGGATTTTTCTGGTCTTCCCTGCGTGTCATGTTTCAACATCTCGGGCATGGTCACTTTTCTGGAGCTGGATGAATTTGCGCGTGCCCAGAGCATGTGCTAAGGATGTTTGCCATCCAATTCCAGGTTAGAGGCAAACGGCAGGCTCGACGGTCCAAACGCCTCCCCCCCCCTGGCACTGCTTGTCGCAGGACCCAGGCAAGAGCTCTGTGCGGGCCTGAGCCGCGCCAAAGATGTTGAAGTTGTTTGGCACCCTCACCGTTTGTTTAACTTGTTTGTGAATTTGGGGGGTTCAACATCGCCTTTTGGTGGCCAGTCCCGAGTGAGATTCCCGTTGGTGGAGGGATGCTTGGTCGCCATTCAAGAGTTGCTTGCTCATGGGACATGAGGAATTCCCCCGCAGTGACAACCTGCCTGGTGTGGACAAGTTTGTTGGTTTGTTCAATGAAGGTCACCCCCTTTGGACATGGCCTGAGACACAACGCCCCGCCACCAATCTCTCCATTTTCTCCCAGAAACGTGGAACCTACGGGCCCCACGCCATCCCAGTGATAGTTGTTTTTCGTTGGAAGGCCTTTGTTGAGAACTTGCCTGAGAGCAAAAGCGGCTTTCAGTTCGTCAGCTAGTCTTTCCAGCGCGCCGAAATGCGCACGCATGAGGCCGCCATGCTCCCAGTACTGGTAGGCGCGGGCGGGCCACAGCAATGGCGGAATGTGAAACTAGGTTCCCAAGAGGGCTCCTTTTATGCCAACCCGCCAGTGGAATAATAGTGGCACCCCTTTTCCCGTTTAGTCAAACCCAACGAGAAGTTAGGTTCTTTTCATGAGCGGGTGGCCAAGAAGGACACTCCAGGGGTGGCACAACTCGTGGAGCGCCCTGCTCAGGCCCTCAAAACAAACCGGAGGGCTGGGAAGCCCTTTTCTGGTGTTCTGGTTTTTGCGTGCTTCCCATCTCTCTATCAGAATCCGTCCCACCGATTTCTCCAGTCCCAGACCGGAAAGGCGATCACGCACCTTCCGACTGGCTAGGGAAGGGTTGGATCCTATGCTCGGATTCCTGGTTCAAGTTGTGCACCGATTTCTTGCAGCAGCGTGCCGCACTCTGCCGTGGGAGGCTTGGAGATGACGCCCCTGTCCTCCGATCTGTTCCGTGTACGCCTGGTCCAGGGCTGAGTCAGAGATGATTCTCCGTTTGGTTGAGTCGAGACGCTTCTCCTCTGCCTAGTCCCTTGCAAGGAAACTTGCAAGAAGAGATATATATATATATATTGTGACACATATGAATGAAACTAGGTCACCCTCTTCCATTTTTCCCCTCTTCATAGAGAGTTGCTAGGGATCACTTCGGAGCTTACAAGATCTGATCATCCACTATTTGACTTCCCCTGGCCCCCAGAATGGAATGCACGAAGGGGGCAACCGGTTTTTCTCCCAGGATGGTCCCTTAGCATGTCTTGGACCCCTTCCCCCAAGACAGTTAGGTTCCTCCTTCGAGAAGTCCTACCCGCAAACCGAGCAGCCCCATTCGCCCCGATCCGAGGCAATGACACGTTTGCCTGGGCAGCCATTGGACACTTTTCTGAGGCACGCCCGAGCTGCTCTGTGGCTCCTTTTGGTTTGTTTCCTGCTGACGTTCATGCTCATGCCGCAGAGTTTGCGCCCAACAGGGGATATTATAAGGGGCTAGTGAAGTGGACGCATCCTTCTCAGGTTGATAATAACGTACCCGAACTATGTAGGCCATCGGGGCACAAACCAGCGAGCAATTGATCAAATTGGACGTTACATAAGCACCAGCCAGTTTGTTTTGGATGCCGAGGAGCCCTTGTCTTGCAAGGCCTCTCAATCCTAAAGTTCCCTCTTGATGGCATGCTATCGTGAATGCTGGAATGTATGCTCACCGATAGTTTCCAATGCATCGCCTCATTTTGTCTGCTTGCCTTTCTTGCATGAGGAAGTCCATGGTTGGACCAGCTAGGAATTGCTGATCCAATTGCAGAACGTTGGCGGCGTGCACTGCCACGAGCAAGCAACAGCCTTCCTGACAGAGGGGAAGCTTGCAGTCCTTCGAGTGGGCTTGGTATGATGCTTCCATAGCTGGCCCCCTCCAGAACCATAGCCTTTCTCTCGGTCTTAGGTTATTGCGGGAGCTCCTTGAGGTTTCCAACAAGAAGTTCAGTGCCCCCTTGGCTTTTCCAAGCGAAAACCAAAGGAGGCAGCCAAGCAAACACAAACAAAATCTGAAGCCTCGACCGTGAGACCAGGATACGGGCCGAAGAGGCGCAAGCGCAAAATCTCAGCCAGCTCCTGAGAAGATTTGCTCCGCTCGACGGAGCATGCAATGATTTGCTTACTTCTCCACCTGTGCTTGTGCACGTGCGTGTGCGTGTGTTTTTGGGTCTGTGCATCATCTGAGTGTTTGCGTCTTTGTGTCTGTGTGTCTTTGTGTCTCTTTCCCTCTGTGTTTTTCTGTGTCTCTCCGTGCCTCTCTGTGTGTCTCTGTGTTTGTCTGTGTCTCTGTCCGTGTGTGTGTGTGTGCGTGGTTGTCTGTTTGTTTGCGCTTACTTATGCATGGGTCTGTGGCGGTGTCTCATCTGTGTCTGTCTGTTTGTCTGTGTTCGTGTGTGTATGTGTGTGGCTAGTTTGCTGTCAGCAAGGAAAAAGGGATGAGTAACCCACAAAGCAGGACGGCATTCCTCAAGTAACTTTGTATGACCCGTGCACCGATTTGCAATTGTGTCGAGCTCATCTTGGTGTTAGCACGGTCTTGTCCTTCACTAGTTGCCGGTACTGACGAAATGCCTGAATTCTGGTAGGCAGCTGCAGTAGTGCGGATTCATCCGTTGACAAGACCCTAAGATTCAATCCACCATCAAACCAACGGGGGTTGATATGACCACCATTGTTTATTAGGTTGTTGTTGGTTTTTTTTGGCATGGACGTTGTTTACCCCAGGATTGTTTACCCCATTGATATGATCATTTACCCAAGGTAAATTGGGTCAACCAATTTGCTCACGGGGGTTGATTCCTAGGGAAGTGCTTCAGATTGGTTCAAGAGGACACCGAGCTCAGGCACGGCCGGCCGGGTCCAGGCAATGGGCGAGGCAGGCTGACTCGGCCAAGCGGAAGTGGACCCCCCAACCAAAGAGACATGCGTGAATATCACCCTTTCTTGTTGGGGGGGGGCTATATTTCTTCATTTTGGAAGGTAACCAACGCCAAGCAGCTGGAGTGGTTCCCCATTTTAGGCTTGATCGCATGACAGACCACAAAAAGTGGGTGCGTCGAACTTCAGACGTCCTTCTTGCCAGATCAACTCAGACAAGATCTCTTTAGAGTGCAGTGCAGGGCTCATATCTACTCCAATGACAATGCAATTCCTACCGTTGTCCCTTTCAATTATGTCCGGTAGCTATCAATTTGGCAACACATGGTTTTCACGCTCGCTCTTGCGCTGGCAAGCTGGGAGCATTGCATCGCAACACAGCCCTGTGCAGAGTGTGTTTTCAGTGCTTGCACCTATGTGCGTAGAACCTCAGTGGTTGCATGTGGCAATTTCGGTGTATGCTGTTGAAGGTTAGATGATGCGGCACGCATCAGCATTGTGGGGAACGAGACTCTTGGCAAACCATCACATGGAGGTGCTTGAATGCATCAAATACGGTCAATCAGCAGAGTAAATGTGGAGTCCAGGCAATTCTAGCTTTGTTC